TCGATGCATTTGAGCAGCGGGGTGGATAATCCTCGCCGGTAGAGCTCGTCAGCCACCATGGAGTACCGAGCCGCTTGAGTTCGTAATTTCTTCGCTTCCATCGGGTCGGTTGGTAATTCGCCTCGGACAATAAAGTTCCAGATGGTGGTCATCCAGGTCGGTGTTTCAGTACTGGTTGTCATACACTCAACTGTCACACTTGGGGAAGGAATCTCAAGGTGAATGGTTGTGCGCAAATGTCCTGGCTTCCGGCTGCTGGCGAGCCAAGCTAACTGATCGGCTCGTTCATTGTTGTTACGCAAGATGTGTCGTATCTGAACTTCAGTGAAACTGTCCTTGAGCTTTTGGAACAGGTGGTAGTATTGCAACAGGTTGGGGTCTTTGACCTGAAAGTTATCATTGAACTGTTCGGCCACGATTTTAGAGTTAGTCCAGCATGTGATTCTCTTGACGCCCATCTTAGTTGCTAATCTCATTCCTGCTATCAAGGCTTCGAGATTATTGGATGCGCAGAAGCCGAACCGAAGGGATTGTTCGACTGTGATACCTGAGGGGCTAGCAAGGATTACGCCGACTCCACTACCTTGGGCATTAGAGGACCCATCAACGTGCATGGTCCACGGCTCGTCTTCAAAACGTCCAGGGGGAGTTAATTCGTTGACAAAATCGGCCAGGCACTACGACTTGATAGGACCTCTTGGCTCAAAGGATATATCAAATTCGGAGAGTTCGACCGACCAAGCCATCATTCGGCCAGCGACCTCGGGCTTCCGAAGTACTTTCTCAACCGGACAGTCAGTCCGTACGACTACCTTGTGACTTTGGAAGTACTGTCGCAATCGTCGGGCAGCGTAGACGAGTCCCAAGGCAACTTTTTCCAACAGCTGGTAACGTCGTTCGGCATCTTGCAGCGTTCGGCTGATAAAGTATATTGGTTGCTGATTGCCCTAATGTTCTTGTACCATGACGGCGCTTATAGAGTTGCTAGATACGGCCAAATAGACAATCATGTCTAGGTCTCCGATTGGTTTAGACAATATCGGGGGCGTGCCGAGGCGTTCTTTGAACTGTTGAAACGATTCTTCGCACTCCTGGGTCCACTTGAACTGCTCCGTCTTCTTCAGTAAAAGGAGGATAGGCTTAGCTATCTCGGCCAGGCAAGGGAGGAACCGGGAGAGTGAGGTAAGCCGACCTGCTAACTTCTGCACCTCTTTCAAAGTACCTAGGCTCTTCATATCCAGAATGGCTTGGCATTTGTCAGGGTTTGCCTCGATGCCTCGGCTGGACAGCATGAACCCTAAAAATTTGCCGCCCGAGACCCCGAACATACACTTCTCGGGGTTGAGTCTCATTTGGTTTTGTCGAAGCGCCTGGAACACCTCGGTCAAGTCTTGTGCGTGTGCAGATACGTTACTTGACTTTACAACCATATCATTGACGTATACTTCCATGCTTCGGCCAATATGGTCACTAAAAATTTTGTTCATCAGCCGCTGATAGGTGACTCCGGCATTTTTTAATCCGAAGGGCATCACCCAGTAACAGTAATTGGCCATTTCGGTGATGAACGCAGTCTTCTCTTCATCTTGTGGGTGCATACGGATTTGATTATATCCGGAGTATGCATCCAGGAACGACAAAAATTTGTGACCAGACGCCCCATTCACAAGCCGATCAATGTTTGGTAACGGGTAGGCATCCTTCGGGCAAGCTTTGTTTAAGTTAGTGTAGTCGGTGCACATGCGCCACTTCCCATTCAGTTTCTTGACCATGACTACGTTGGCCAACCAGGTTGTATAATGCACCTCTCGGATGAATCGAGCGTCTAACAACTTGCCCACCTCGGCTTCGATCGCTGCCTTCCTTTCTTCTCTGGCCTTCCAGCGTTGTTGAGCGATCGACCTTGCTTCCTTGCTTATTGATAGCTTGTGGCAGAGAAAATTGGGATCAATGCCAGGCATGTCGGATGGATGCCAAGCAAATAAATCATTGTTTTCGAGGACCACTTGGCTGATAGTCAATCGTTCTTGTTCGGACAGGTTGGCTCCTGTGTAAGTAACTTGGGATTCCAACATTCCTACCTACACCGGTTGCTTGTCTTCAATAGGTTCGACCCTCTCGTCTTGATCGATCCGGGGGTCAAGGTCCATGGCCGATTGCTGTGATACCGAGTGAACACCTCTCGGCTCCTTAGGTGTTTCGTCGTTTACTTTTGGTAATCGTAGGCTAGCAAAGTAGCATTCTATTGCAGTCTTCTGATCGGCGTGGACCGTGATGACTCATCCTGACTCGGCCGGGAACTTCATAGCTAAGTGTGGAGTGGAGACGATTGCGCCGAGGCGATTCAAGGACGGTCGGCCGAGCAAAATGTTGTAGGACGTGTTGGCGTGGACCACCACGTACTTAACTGAAACGTCTCGGTACTCAGTCCCTTCAAACCCAAACTGGGTCGACAGCTTGATGTAACCCTTCGTCTTGACTCTCTCGCCCGAGAATCCCACCAAAGGTTCATCGTAAGGAACTAGTTCAGTCTATGGGATGCCCAACTGTTTGAACGTGTTCTAATAGAGGATGACGGTAGAACTCCCCTGATCAACTAAAGTCTTACGTACTATACAATTGTGAATTTCCACACTAATTACCATTGGATCGTCTTGGTCCGGGTCGATGACTTTAAAGTCGACCTCAGTGAAGGTTATGCTTGGTAAGCGGCGAGGGACTTTTTCGACTACGTGTACATGTCGAACAGCATGCAAGTGCCTTCGTTGTGCCGACGAGGAGGAGCCACCGCCGGCGAATCCGCCAGCTATGGTGTTGATGACTCGCCGAGGTTGTGTCGAAGGTTCCTCTTCCCTTCGATCCCTTGACCGACTGCGCTCTCTGTACGAGCGTGTTTCTGTCCTTCTTTGTTCGGGCTGATCATGTCGGTGGGATCGATCGGCGTATCGGGATGAGCTTTGCCGGTTCACAAAACCTTGCAGTTGTACCCCTGTTTGATTAAATCTTCAATCTTATCCTTTAGAGCCGAGCATTCCTCTGTTGAATGTCCTCGATTGCGATGGTACTTGCAGGATTTAGTCGTATCGGCCCTGGGAGGGGTCAAAGCTCTTTTCGGGACGGCTAGCACTTCTGAGGCAAGCGCTTGTTCTAGTATGGCCGATCTACTGGTATTGAGCGGCGTATACTGCGAGTACCTCGGCCCGCGAGGGGGCTTCTTGCGGGGAACCAGTTCTTTCGGACGGCTCCGAAAACTACTCTCGGCCGGCTTTTCAGGTTTAGCCGCTACCTCTGCCCTGGCTTGGTTACGGAATTCCGCTAATTCCTCCATTTGCATGTACTTGTCGGCTCGCCGACGCAAATCATCCATGTTTGTGGGTGGTTTCTTGCAAATGTTGTTGGCGAACGGCCCTGGTTTCAAGGCGGTGGTGGTGTAGGGCTATAGCAGGGTTTAAGTCCCGAATTTCGAGCGCTGCTTTGTTGAACCGACTCATAAACGCCCGAAGGGATTCCTTTTTCTCCTGACGAATGCTGACTAATGCCAAAGAGGTCAACTGGTGGGGTCGGCTCGTAGAAAATTGGATAGTGAACTGGGAGGCTAGTGTGTTGAACGAATCGATCGAGTTAGCAGGAAGCCGAGTAAACCAGCTTAGCGCGCGCCCTTTCAGTGACGTTGGGAAGATTCGACAGAGTGCCACATCATCTGTGGTGCTCAAAGTGACTTGGGTTAGGAACACGTCCACGTGCTCATCTGGATCGGTCGTCCCGTCATACTTGTCTAATGGCAGGGACTTCCAATGATCAAGAAGTGAGGACTGCATTATGTTTGGAGTGAACGGGTGTCGGTGGGCACCGGCCGGGATGGCATGTACGGGTCGACCAGGTGCCTGCACCGAAGTGTGATTGCCTGGGGCAGCTACAGAAGTGTGTGAGATAGAGGTGTGATGGCCGAGTGAGTGAAACGACCCTTGAGTGTGGGTCGTCTCAAAGGATTTCTATGTGGGATCTCGGTACTGGTTTTTGAGGGCGGCATTCTCTTCTCGCAATGCTGCCATCTTGCGAGCATCCTTCTCCCGTTGCTGCTTCATGGCAGTCATTTCGTCTTTCATTTGGCGTATCATATCGGTCAAGTTTGTCTCCTCTACCGTCTCGGCGTTGTCTGCCCCGGACTGGCGCTCATCTTCGGACTGGTGGTCTTCAACATTAGTTATCCTTGTCTTTGCCATGATTCTCTTCAACGTAGTGCTCAGTCTATTTCTGAAAAGCTATCGGCTCGGCCCCACGGTGGGCGCCAAAATGTACCTGTCTGAGGGCACGCTCGTAGTCTTCTGAGATGAGGGGCCGAACGGGAGCTTCAAGTAGATACTTCGGAGGGGGGAGGTACCTGCAAAAGACACTCCGACGCTCAAGTCAAGACAAGCACGATTTTCTAGGATAATAAATGAATAGTGACGTACCTCGTTATAAGTGACCTATTTATACTACCTTTGATGGACCCTGCTCGTAGTGGGCCTCTTCTGAAGTTTGCCAAATTAGGTAATACGACGCTAATCGGCTGATTATGTCTTAAACACGCGCTTATCCTTGCTAACTTTGATTATTGCCGTAGTACTTGTCTTTATCTGTCAGCCCCTTTCCGGGCTGACAGATGAAGGCTCGGGGTGTTAACTATTTTCGGTCTTGGGCCGGACCGGTAGGTATGGGTTGGGTTGCCCTCGACTCTCGGCCTTCTGCCGAGCCGACGCGTGGGAGCACAACACGCATTCGTGGTTTACGCACTACTAGATAAAAGGCTTGGAACTCCATTGCTCTCTCGGTCTCTGGCCGGGCCGATCTATCTGAGGGTGGATCGGCCTTCGACCGGGCCGATCTTACCGCTATTGGTGTTCGCACAAGACCAGAGTTGTGTTCCAAGTCCGCGTGGGTGTCTGACGGGGCGTCACGTGTTGGTCGATGTGACATAGGGTACCCTTCTAGTACACTAACAATTGTTTTAAATTGGGTCTTATAAATATAAATAAATGTAGAATTTAATTTATACGTAATTACAGTTTTTAATGATAAAAAACAATTTTAATTCCTTAACCAGTGAGCCCTGGTTAGTATTTCTAGTACTTTTTAAGATATTTGGATACAATCATACATTAAAGACATACGTAGTTTATAATTTAGTATCTTCTAGACGAATATAATCGTACATTATCCCTTGGAAGAGGGCCAAGGGGCCAGTAGCCATAGTCTGTGTTAGAAATATAGTATTAACACCATTCTCTAGCAGAAGACCAGGCACGTCAATGCTGAATAGCCAGTAGAGTCCATGAATTCCATGTCTAGCTATGGCATTATCCTTCCCAATCACTCCTGTCGTAAACAATGCAGGATCTTGTTTTGAATCATTCACTCTAACCTTTAAATTCCAAACCAAAAACATCACATGATGAGAAGAGGTAGTATAGAAAGTGAAAACACAAACAAATATTCATCACAACCAACTTAGATTACGGATATATTTTAGTAAACTTCTTCATAAATACTATAAGCAATAAAAATGAAATAATTTTTTTTATAAATTAAAATTAACTTATAAGTAAATTAAAAATATGTTTTTTTGAGTAGTTATTATGAGAAAATTTCCACATATTAATTTATGCCTATAAGGTGTCTTTTATATTAGAAATATTTTTAAAGAAATTTATCTAATTAATAAATCATGTTTTGGTGAGGTTCCAAACCTGTAACTCGGATACATTTGCACTTGCAAGTGACAACCTTAATTTGTAGATTTTACTTGCCTCCACATCATCCAGGTTGAACTTAATTTGCCATGTAGTTCCTCGGTAACTGCCATCTTCTTGCTTCCTGTTTTTCATGCGCTAATTTCATCTTTCATGGAATGACATATAAAACGTGCTTTTAAAGAAGGAAATATAAGGGTGTACCTTGTGACTTGTGCAAAGAACCAATCTTTTGTGTAGTCACTGGCACCCACTGTATAAATTAAATCCTCATTTGGGTATAATTCTGCATATCTTTCCCACAAGCCATACTGCCTAAACCTGTTAATTAACAAACGAGAGTTGATAAATTAAAAAAGTTGAACCTTTAAAATTGAATTTGTAAATAGAAGCTGACTTGTCTGGGTGGTTGACAAAAAGCTTGTTTATGAAGTTGGGATTAGGATCAGGAACATAGAATCCATTAGCAGAGCGATCAGGAATCCCTATCTCCCATAATGTTGGACCATCTCTTGGAGGCTCATAAATAATGTCACCAGCATCTATTTCACAACCTGCATATTGCATTAACATGGACTTAAAAATAAACAATATAAACCAACATCACTAAATCTTTAGATGTGTGTATTAATGCATATATGTATGTATGATTTTAAAATTATGATGTACATAAATTAAGGATAATGTTTGTAGACTCTATAGAACTAGTTTTTTTAAGAAGATTCAGGGGTAACATATCTGGCCAATAAAGTAATAATTAAAAGAACCTGGGGTTATGGTGAGGACAGCATTGTTCCAATAGTCTCCAATGAAACCTGGAACCCATGCATAGAGATTGTAATCTCCACTGCGTATATTGTTGATTGAGAAGTACCCTTCTTCGTTTGTTCTACTCCAAAACTGGTATCCCTGAGTGACCAAACAAATAAATCTTCAAGTGTTAATAGAACTCAAATTTTGGTTTGGTTAACACGTAGTAGTACATGGTGCTGTAGTTTAAACCTTGCATTCTCTTTGCCACGATCCAGCTTCTCCTGGTGGTGCCACTCCCACATATGCGTCTCGTGCTATTATGTACTCATCACTTAGACACCTGAAAACTTGTCATTTTGATACCATTTTAAGTTACTTTAAACATTGACTTTATTTTGGTCTTAATTGTAAAAAATGTTACTTTCTTCAATATTTTCTCATTATAATTCTCCTATTAGGACTTTGGTGTTACCTGTCTCGAACTAGTAATATGCCACAAACACTGCCCCGTTGGCTAGTCTTTTGAAAATCTTCTGAAGCTGGAAAATCATAGGGCCAACTTTGAACCTCCTCCTCCATCTACAACCCAGTTTTGGTAATCTTAGAGTTAGTACTTAAGGTTAATTATTTTGTTTACATGGAAAATATAATATCTCCTTAAATTCAACAACTTGATAATGAAATTGAAACCTGATGGTTGGCGTCCTCCCAGAGCTCCAGTGGGTCATCAGCATCTAACAAAGTGTTGAGATAAACGAAAATTGGCCCAAAAACTTTCTTCCACGGTTCATTAGGCTGGAGTTTCAAAACTATATCCTCTCCTGCGTAATGAGCACTAAGAAACATCTGAAACATACAACAATATTTCTAGTTATTTGTATTACCTGATCAATAGGAATAATAGCTTATTATTATTATTATATTAATTTAGCACCCATCAACAACTAATCTTAATGAGGTGATTCTATGCTTCAGTCTCAGAACAGAAAAACTTACTGCGAGGCAATATGGGCCAACGTGGGAAGTAAGGTTTTGTTTAACTGGGCCACCTGATCGGAACTCATTGCTGGGTATGATTACCCAAAACCCCATGGCTGGATCTGCTTCGGATTGGGAACTTATCCACCCATGAACCTTAAGATCTTTGTTCTCATTCGAGTATTGGTACTTGTCATCCACCTTAATCAATCATTAACAAATTTTATTAACTACAAACTGTGATATTTATCGAGTGCAACCTCACTTCACAAATCTAACCATCATCTTATCAATATTTAATTTATTAATTTTTATAATATCTAATGATATGATTAATATTTTTATTGAACTTTAGTAACTTTTAAAAATCACATAAAAGAAGAATACATAGAAAATATAATGATTTTTAAGTATAAACCGACAATTTGTATACCCGTATTTTATGTTAATCTATTTAAAAATTTATTTTATATAAAAGTTTTTAGATAAATATAATCTATGGCTAAATAAACTAATTTGGCAATAGGTTAATACAGAAATTTTTTATATACAATATATATTACAAATCATAAACATTAAAATCATTACTACTTAAATATGATAGGTGGCAAAAATAGGTAAGTTAGATCTTATATATGAGAGTCGATCTAACTTTTTTTTCTAATCCCCGATCTAACATGTTTATATGTTATAAAAAAAATTATGATCTTCATAACAACATTTAAAACTTTATTTTATAGTAAGGTATTTAAATAATAATATTTATCATTCAATAAACTAATAGATTTGACTCTTTATATAAGTTTACATGTTTAATATCAAAGATATGTAAACATGGACAGAGGGAGGGAGGACTTGGACAAATTTTTTTTTTTTAAATGTGTCAAAATTATTTTTATTTTTTTTATCCTCCTAAAATTTATATAAAAAAAATTATAGATTAATAGATAAAAATTATTGTATTAGTTTATACTTATAAAAAGAAAAGGAAAGAAATATATGTAAAATTGATATATTATATAATAGAAAGAGAGATAAAAGAAGTATAAATAATAAATTATTTATGATGTTATAATATGTATATATAAGTGTTAAAAAAAATTGATCGCTCTTGACATAATGTTCTGACTCCACTCCTGTATGTAATATATGATTTGAATGTATAAAAATTAATATATTAATTAATAATATATACTAAAAAAACATTTATTTAAATATGTTGCCATGTTATTAGAAAAAAAAAACTTTTTAAATGACTTAAGTATGACATTTTTTACTTATAAGTTTATTTCTTAAAAAATACCTCTTAAAAATTTGCTTCTTAATATTTCAAGAACTTTTAGTGTTTTAATCGAAAGATCGATCCATTGATTTGATATTCAATATTTAATAAAAATATCGAGGTGACTTTTATTGCATTAAAAAAAGAAATACCTCTCCCTTGAACTCTGGCTCCACAGGATCCACAAGCAATACTGCTTCCGGGGGAACTAGTGCTTTTCCTCTTTCGGGCGATCTATCTTCTGGGAGAGGCATAAATCTTTGTCTGTTATCCGACACCGTCATGAAATGAAACCTAATAACCTCTTCAAATTATCTTTGCACTTATCTAAAGTATCGTATACTATAAATTAATAAAGGCACCAAACAAGATCCATCCAATAATATTATACTATGAAGTGAGGTTTATTTTTTTTTAAGTTTTTATAAAATTATTTCACTAAATAATTGGAAATTTACATATATTTCAATAATTCACTTAAATTATTTAGTAATAAATAATTTACTTAAATTAATATTCTTTAGTAATAAATAGATAAAATATATAAAATTTGAAAATTATGAGATATTTCTATTTATAAATTAAATTAGTAAATAATATATTTTTAAGAATATATATTAATTTGAATTAATGTAATGAAATATCTTATAATTTTCAATCCTTATAAAATAATTATAAACGTTTGATATATTTTTTAAGAACTTTTAATTAAAGTATTAGATCATTGAAATTCATCTAAACTATTAATTATTGAGTAACATCATTCTATCAAAACTTATTTTTAAAGTAATAAAAAGATTTATTCTTAAAGTAATATTATGTGAATTCTTCTTCTTTATATTATTACGGAATATATATATTTCAAGCTAATTTACTCCATATATACTTGTCTTTACGAAGCTTGTAAACGATCCTTATTTGAGGTATGTTGAAAGCAGGCCACTCCTGTAGATGTTCAAAGATGGCGTAGGAATAGAATCCCGAGGAATTACGAAGCATCACATACCTGCACAAAAATATAGTAATTAATCTCTCTATCATATGACTGATTTCAATCTTAATTAATTAGCAACATATCTAACGGTACCTTTTGTCAATATTTAGAGGTGCTCGCTTTCCTTTCAGAGATGGATCCCACTTACTTGTGAAACAGATTTCAACTTGTTCTTCATTTTCCGTTATAACACTGAAACTCGTTCCCACAATCCTGCACGTAGTGTAGCCAATTAACTGCAGATTAAACTACCTAGTAATAACATTATTAAAGACATAATTTATGGACACAGTTAACGTGTTTTGGTACGTAATATAGTAACTTTTGTTTTGGCTCAGATAATTAAACTAGGAACTTAATTTATGAGGCAATAATGATAACAAACTTTTCAAATGTCCCAGTTGTTCCTGTACTTCCGGCTTCACTCCAAACAACGTCCCAATACCTATGAAATCTTTAACTTAATTAGTTTAAGTCGCATGAATAGAAGAAAAAAAATCATTCTGAATCTCAGTGTACATGCACGTACCCTATATCATCACTTTCGCTTAGAACTTCAAGCAGATTATCAGTGCCATTATATTGTATTCTAGTAACAAATCCACCTGGATTCGATAAATACACTTGCACTGTGCCATTGTCCATAACTACCTGCAATTTCAAATTCAATTTACCAGAAATTCGGAGTATTATTATCCCCAAACCTTTTCCTTTTATCTAGTTGTTCCAAAATTGATAATAAAAAATTAATATTTATTTTTGTTGAAAGCAATTTCGTTCGACTAAATATTATTTTATCATTAACGGGAATATTTGAAACTTAGTACTTAAACTTATAATTAGTGTTAAGCATCCTCCAAACTTTGAATAGTAAATGAAAAAAATAATAAAAGATTGTCTTACTTGAGTGTCTTCGATGCGCAATTGCACTCCTTGTGAGGCCATGTGAAGGATCTTCGCTGGTTGTGATATTTTGTAATACAATATATTTTTGCAAGAGACTTGATTTATACTGCCATGCAAGTAATGAGGTATATAAATAAGATTTTTTTTGTCTGGTTTGCTTCGACTAAAGGCCAAGCAATTTTTACTTCAATTTTATTTCTTTGGTTTAATTTCCATGGTCAATTCTTTACTCAATCGTCACTGTAGCCGTGCACGTTTAGGATTGTGATTATTTTGATTTTTATATGATGAGAGAATTGAAGCTCTCCTCCTTTTTTTCTCTCTTGGAGCGTATCTTATCTGTTGTTTTTTGACTTAGGGTAAAAGTGAACAAGGATAAGAAACAAATTCACAAATGAAGGAAGAGAAAACGACTTGGTCAAATGAAGTGGGGGCACAGAACCAAAGTTAACATTACTTCACGAGGATCAGCTAAACTTTTGAATGGTTGATTAACTTACGGGTCAAGTTGACTCATTTTGATAAATGCTTGAGAGATATACGTTTCAAGAAAAATAAAATATAAGAGAGAAAACAAAATTCTCTTCAAATTAGTGTAAAAATATTTTCTATATATTAATTTATTTCAGAAAATATTTCTCTATTTCTTATTTTTATCTATTTAATTTTTTTGTTTTACTCTATTTTTGTATTCTTTTTTGCTTCACTATTTCAATCCTAATATAATATAAGGTATGATTATTTTATTTTCTTTCATTTCATGGCCCCATAAAATTGGAGGAGAGGAAATAAAAATATCAATGTGACATTAGAAATGTGCTTCTAAATATTCGGGTAGACTTTTGGCATGTAAGTTTGAGTCTTTATCTAGGCTGTCTGTACTATATATAGGAACAACTAAATCATGTGTGGACCTTTCATTTTATTTTCAAATCTCATATCACCCATGAGCCAGAATATTGCTGTTATTTTCTGAAAATCTCTGTTTGGAAAACACAAATTAAAAATTATTAAAAGGGAAAATTCACTTCACATTTGCCAACATGAAAACAGGAAAGGAAGAATATGAAGAACGTTCAGAAAGTATTATAATTTATTTGCCTTCAAATTGATCCGAGGAGCACTAATTGTTTTTTTTTTCTTTCCAGATTTGATTTGAATAAATGTAAGATATCTGGCATTGAAAAAAAGAATATAATCATACAAAATCTTTATAAAGTGGAGAAAGGATTCCTTCAAAACGAATATAATCATACAAAATCCCTCCCATGTACAAGAAGAGTGTTCTCTACGTTATTGTTGCATGTAGCCAATATAGCCCATGAATCCCTGATATCAAATGGTAATCTTTTCACCAAATAAAACACACACAGATATGTCAAACGGAAAAGAAAATGTGAATCTCTTTTCTGTTTACCAGAAAGATGAAATGAAAAGGATAAATGTGCGTATGTTTTGGTAAGAGCATCTCAATGAGATTGCTTATAAACAACTCTCTTATCACGTCAGCCCATTTGAGTTGCTTAAATTTTATTAAAATTTCTTGTACAAGTTCCGGTACTTAATAAAAAAGGAAAAAATGGACAAATGTAACAAGGGAGTTGCTTATAAGCAACCCTGCTGGAGATGCTCTAAGAACTCTAAGTATCATATTCATAATGATTTTTTTTATCATGCGGAAAATATTCATGCAAATCATTTTAATTAAAATAAGTTTACTGGTTATAAGTTTAATTTAATAGTTCTTTTTACAATCTAATTTAATAGTTTCTTCGTATTTTTATAATTTTATTAGTTTATGAAAATAAATTAACTTATAAATCACTAACTTATTTGATATTTTTATAAATCACATTAACACTTCTAAAGGCAAGCAGTATTGAAAATGAAATTACCTGTCTCTTTCCTATTTTAATTATCAATTAAAAATGACATTAGCCAAATGACATGCTGGTCCCCAGTGACCAAGCCAAAAAGATATGATATGGGGGGATTTTAAAAAACAAAATTTATTAAACAAATACGTATAAATTTCATTCAATAAATTTAGTCTCTACACTTGTCATGGATTTTTAATTTGATCCTTAACATAAAAACTAAGTAAATCGATCCTTATAAATGTTAAATGTTCCTTATCATTGTTAACTTACACATCATTAATTTAATCTTTACGAAGAACGAAATTGTTTACGGAATGTGGACACCGAATTAGTATATCCTCTTTATTAATGTTAGATTTAACTTTTATATTATAATCTTAATCCCTTCAGCTTTTTTTTTTTTTTTGTCAAGCTCCACCGGTGTTCCCCTCCAATTAATTAACTGCAAAGTAAAAACACTGTAATATACTCTTCTCATCGGTGCCTCCTGTAGCTTTCTTTTGTATATGTCTAAAACACATTATATAACTTATTATAAAAAAAATGGTTTTTATACATAGTTTAATCTGAATACGATCTCCCAAAATTAGAAAAGAAAGGATAATGACGAGAAAAGAGAAAGGATATATTCTTTATATTATGAATATCAAATTTCTTATGTTTCTTTCTCAGTTTCTATGCCTATGGGGGAGCCTCTTCATGTAAATTAACATTCATGCTAGGCGTGCTGGTTGTATATAGCAGCCACACACACAGATATGATAAATGACCTTTTACACATACATGCTTTTAAGGACCATGGTACAAAAATAACACATGGTCAAGGTCTTTAACAGAATCCATATATAAAAAGGAACATAAATTTTCCTAAAACTTTCAAATATTTTTCATCAAATGCAGAGCAACAGTCATTTTCAGTGAAGTATATAACTAAATATATATTTTATATAATGACAATGCCGATGTGTTCTACACTTCTACATTACGCTAGCAAAAGTATATCTCATACGGCTTCTGATGCAAGGGAATGGATTATACAGAAAATGCAGGATCCTAAAATGATTCGGCTTTGTTGCTATTGCTAATGCACATCACTGGGCTCTGCCTTCCTCTGTAGAAAAAATGATCCCAGTATGACAGCAATACCAGTGATGGCTATTGTGAAAAGAAGGCGTCCAGTTGAGAAGTCATTCTGCCTCCTTCGAGGACCTTCCTCTCTCTCAGCTTCCCTCACATTCCTTCACACAAGACAAAAGTAAATAGCTTAATTATAAACAAGAGAGAGACACCATGTGAAGCATGAAAAATAATAGAAATAAATGGTTGAATCCAGGATATACCAAGAGGGGGTGTATCATGATTCTAACATAAAAAATTCAATTACACCACAAGCACTTCTTGATACATTGACTTAGATAATGAAATAAACTTCAAAAAATTGATGTCCTGACTTTGTAAAATAATGGGGTAAATCAATATTGCGCAAAAAGATGATAATTCCTTGTGCATAACTTTGTGTTGTACGTCTATGATCATCAACAGTTTCAAATTACTATTTTATCCATTAAATCAATATAAAATCAGATTCTCACAATACTATCTAATTTAACTCAATAGTAGCAACATTTTCATTCATTTTTTACTTTGGAACGTGGACTGTGCGTGTTAAGAGTGTGATATTATACCACAACCGCCAAACAATCTCCTGTGAATGTACATCTTAGCACTCATCTAAAATAATATAGTTACTGCAGCAGCAACAGAATGTTTATACTAACAAATATTGATCGGGAAATGATGCTAATTACTGATTATATGCAATGAAAATTCACAAAGTGAATTTCTGTAGATTGTCCCATTATGTAGCTAGCTGGCTTACAATTAAGCCCCACCTATGAAAAGAGGCCAAAGGATTCATGCAAATAGTGTCATTATTTAACATAAAGAGTAGGGATGAGAATAAGTCATGTCAACACTTTGAATATATAAGTCAGGCTTATTCTATAAAATTAAAATTTAAGTCTTAGTCTATTTATTATTTTAGGCTTAACCTACCCTTTTTAAACGATTGGTATGATCTATTAGCCTATTTAAAAACCTATTTTACATTAAAAATCAATAAACTTAATGTTAAATAAGTCAATAAATTTATTTTTAAATACATGTGAAAGCCTTTTTTTAATTTGTGATTAAAAAATAGTCTTCCATTATTATAAAAAATTTAGATTTTAAAAGAAAACTAAAATCTAACATACACTAAGTACACATGTACACTAAGTAAGTACACAAGCACAGGTTGTGATGAAAAAATGTAATCTTATAAAAAAAAAAAACTTTCTAAATATTCCCTATAATCAACTACAAAGATGAAGGAAAAGTCGAAGATGCATATATTCCCTATATTCCATTTGAAATATTTCATATGAGCAGGGAATGTAAAACTTTTAAGCATTTTGGATATGTCAAAAATATAGATAATTTGATTTTTTTAATTATAAATTTATTGATTTAATTATATTGTAAATAACATAATATGTACATTAATTTTTATTATAATATATTATTAAATAGGATGATCTATTAGACCTAACAGACTTTTTTATAAGCCTAAATCCAACCTTTTTAAATAAAGAGGATTTTTTGGTCAGGCTAGGCTTTAAACAGGTGAGGCCATATGCTCTTATTTAAGGTTTGACCTATTTTCATTCTTAATAAAGAGCCAACTATATAATTTTGCTGTATTCACCACGAACAGCAAAAGCAACAAGATTGTTGTAATTGTCATGAACCAACTCTCCAAAAGCTTGAACAGTTGAGTGAAAGTACATGAATGTTTGATATCTTAATGTACAAGTTCTTTGGGCTAGAAGCATGGTCAATGCATAGCAGCATAAGCCTACCTTACCTTCTGCTCAAATTTAATTTTCATTTAGAAGAATGGGGGCAAAATGATAAAATTGACAACATGGTTATAAAGGCTCTGATACCTTGTAGTGGGAGTGTCAAAGAAAACAAAAGATACAAGGCCATTTTTTGAGGTTTCAGAGATAACAGAGGATAAGTTCAATGCAGAAGCCATGAGATATGACTGAAGTATACTCAGAACTCAAAAGGAGAATATTGTCAAAATAACCAAGTAGATTTCAAGAGAGATGCTGGACTAAAACATATTTGAATAAAGTCAACAACAAAAGTGGGCACCAAGGACCCTGTACTTCAACAGGGCTAAATCAAAATTCCAACACCTAAAACAGGTCGAGAAACCAGTGAGAAAAATGGGACAGGTGGCATGACAATCAAAGACCAGGAATGTGAACTAAATGTAACTATGTAAGGGTGTTAATGAATCGGATTTTTGAAAAAGTCAAACTAAATTAAGTCGATTCATTTTATAAAATTAGATCGGTTAACCGATATTTTTTTTCATAAAATGGATTAGTTCGATTTTTTAAAAATATGGATTGATTTTTTTGAAACTGGATAGGTTTTACATGATGCGGTTATCCATTTTATACACATATATGGGATAGTTTTTTAAAACAACAAAACCAAACTGAACCAATCCACTTTGTAAAACTGGATCAAATAACTAAATTGGTTTTGCAAAGTGGATTGGTTCAGATTTTTTTTCAAAATGAATCGAATTATTTTAATATGGATCTGATCGGTTATGAATTAGTTCAAATCAGTTTGGATTTTTTGCACAAAATGTGTCAACAGTAAAGATAATGTGCTAGGGTGTGACATGGCCTCCGATGATGTGGCCTGGAAGGATGACCAATTAGAGACTTATAAGACAGGATAGCCATGGAACTTGATGGTTGAAGGCATGCAGATCAATGATCTTGTCAAGACGGTGAAGGCTGGAATAACGAGGGTAAGGATTTTCAGCCCAAAATCACATGAGATTTGATGCCATGTCATGAACTAATTTTCTAAAAAAAATTATGCTATTGAGTTAAAGCACATGAATGATTCTATATTTATTAGTATGGATATGCAATATGAAAGCATATAAAATATACCAATTGCTTCTATTATCCATAATAAAAAAATAAGTTGCAACATCCTAATCCCCCTAAAACCAACATATTTAAATTTGGAAATCACAGTAATTTTCTAGAAGCAATATAAACATAGAAAACAAGAATTAACCTTGGGAGTTTCAATTTGTAGTCTACATTTAAGTGTTATGGACCAACTAACCTAAGTGCTTAAGCTGTTGGGTGAGATGTTCAATATTGATTTTATATCTCTAACACACCCTTTCAAGCAAGATTCCTTTGGGCTTTACGCATGAATAATGCATAGACCCACTCTATCTTGTGCTAAAACTCAACTCAATTATGAAGAATGGGATGGCAAGGAAAAAACTCGACCACTAGGTCAAAGAGATTCCGTGACCATGTTAAGGACCAATACTCCTTACAGCCTAACCTGTTAAGTGAAGGTTCGAGTAATCAACAGTTTAAGTAGAACCTTGAAATGGAACAGCTATGCAATAGTGCAGGTATTAACTCCACTACAAGTACTAACCAAATAGTGTGATCATGCACTCAACACTTCCACACATGGCCAAGAATTAGAAACAAATAGAAGATAATTAATATGCACAACCATTCCTTAACCCTCAGAATGGATGATAACAATTAAAACAGAAAAAATTGTAGATAAGTATGTGTAGTGAGAAATAGACATGCATACTATTATAATGAGAGATTCAGGATTTGGTTAGTGAACAAGAAGCTACAATCCTACAACTGTGAAAATAAAATCAAAATTAAAAATTAGAGGCTTCATTCACAAAAATGATGTTATTTACTACCTTGAAGGGCCCACAGAAGTGACAGCACTATCTTGGATGCCATTGCACCGAGCTTCATGGCTGAACCTTTCACGAAGTCTAACATATTTGTTACAAAGGTGACAAAGTTCTGTTCGATTCCCACATACTTCCTGAAAGGTATAAATAATTAAATATCAAACTGAAGTTAGTGCAAATGTATCTAAAATCTTCCCAATTGGAAGTTCTTTATAAACACTACCTGATGTTCGGCCAGATCAATTGCTGGCAATGGAAACTCGCAGAACTCACAAGTCACAATCCTTTGAGGGCAATTTTCACCTTTATGGATATCTAAAATATCACGCTCCATTGTCTCACTGCATAATGAACAAGAAACCTGCACCAATCCACGCTTCTGTTTTTAGAACTAACATAAAAGCATATTTTAAATCCAACTTTAAGACTGTTATAGTGTGCTAAGGAGGTTGGGTTTGGAGGGAGGGGGGTTGCTATCTTAGGGAAGGAGGTGGTACACATACAGCCAGCTACCATGCAGAGATATGATGTGTATCAGATAAATTACATATTTGATATGTTGATACAACTTTATCAAAATATATAGGATATGAGATGTATCTAGATATGTATAAAAATTCATAAAACATAATAAATATAAATTGCAATTCTGCAAATCCAAATTAAGAACATACTTCTTAGACACATCAAAATAAAATAAAAAAGATAAATTATTGCTTATTGCCTAAACAGAAACAGTACCAATCTCATTCCCTTCTAAAGTGTCACTCATAAGAAGGACAACTTTCATTTTCGGTTCATCAATACTTCATAGAGAATGCTTCCATGTTTCTATCTTATACATGCCTTTATGTCTCATTTGATTGTATTAGATTTTCATAACCTTTTCTTGAAGGCTCGGGCACTTATTATACGTATAGGTGAAGTATCAGGTACATGAAGCATGTGCAAGTATCAATGCTTCATTGATAACCAGCTTACCCAACTATTCCAATGTAAATCAAGGATGGTGTAAGCCCTAACATATCTAGTGAGCTAGTAATAGTCAAACTTTTGCTTTTCTTCCTTTTTCTCCCTTTAATGGTATGATAAGTTATTTCATTGCGGGCTCTTATCATATCAAATCAACTTCGCAGAAAATATAGTTTTAATCATCCATGGCCATGCATCAATTGGCACAATAACTTCAGCAAATGTTACAGAAAGTTTTCCATCAAATTCCAAATTCCCAATTCTGTACATGATGCCTCTTTAATCACAAGAGAAAACAAAGAACCAACATTTTCTGAACAAGAGAAAATAAAAAAAAAAATAAAAAAGCAATAAATAAAGCTGCTTAAAGAAGTCCTCTTTATATCTCAATTCATGAAATCTTCGCTGAATGGAATTTACATTTTGGGGGAGTAAACACATTTGCAATTTTCTACTCTTGCTAATGCTTAGAACTCTGAATGTGAGGTTAGCCACTTAAGTTCAGTATTTGTCTTAAAAATTTAATTTGGCTTCATCTTATCAGTATTAGGCAGTCAAGAATTCATCGAGTATCAACAAGAATTATCTTCCATTCACACAAAATTAATTTTCATAACCATGCTGCTATGCCTAAGTAATATAAACCTCGTTGATTTGTCACTCCTTTCCACAAAAAATGAATCCTATAAAAACAAAGACAAACAACAAGAAACATCACATACAGGCGCATGGGTGCTTAAATAGTGATCCTCTGCAGTTTTTCTGGGAATCATATCACCACAAACTTTGCATTTCTCAAGGTTCCGAGAACAATGAGCATAATGCAAGTCAATATTTGCAGCAGGGATAGCCCGATCACTGAAACCATTAAAATAAAACAAGTCATCGTTATTTCTCTCAGAGTACAAACCATACCTACATGTAAATTAGATGTAACCAACAACGTCAACACACAAATCCTCAAAATATCAGTGAGTGCCCAAGCAATTGTTTGTTTTCAAACGTGAACGCAACAACCCCTCATGGTAATTAACTCATCTAATATATATATTTTGGCATAAAACTTTAAAACGAACACAAGCAATTTTTATTTTTATTTTTCAAAATTAAGGTCCCAAACCTAGTTTAAAAATTTTCGGAAGGAATAATCCAAAATGATTTTGCATAATTCAAGACATTTTACCAGTGAGAGCATGTACTAGTGCCTTGATCCGAAACCCCTTCCATCGTGGAAGACAGACACACACAACACAACCCTACACCAAAGGATCGGTCTACGACGAAATCTTCAGAAACCGAGCAAAGGAAAGCAAAACAAAAATGAGATTCGGAGTATACGAGGGTTAGGTTTTGAAGAATTTCTGATTCTCGCTAAACAAGGTTTGTTGGATCTTAGATTCCGATGTCCGTTGAACGGCTTTTTGGTTGGGATGACTTTTTGGGACCCCTGAATTTGATGATCGAAGACTTTAACTCAAAAAAGTAGTGGACGCAAGTAGCGTTGCTGTTTATTTACCGTACGCGCCATTCGTGTGAGGAATGGTGATCCACCGTTGTTAGTCAAATTGGGCCACGTTTGGTTTGGGTAGTTTTTTTTTTTTTTTTTTAAATGTACACACCTTCTTCTTATTTTAATTAATAAATAAGTCTCCTTTTTCTTAATTTTTTTTTCTTTTAGGTTCTTTTCATCATCATCATCATTTTTTAAATTCTATTTTTACGCTATTAATTTCATAGTTATTTAAATCTTAATTTTTCATTCTATCTTTATTATTGACTTTTTAACAAGTTTGTGATTTTTTTTTATTTAAGTATTCTCATTCATTTTTTAAGATACATACTACTGCTCACTAATTTTTCAATGTATCAGCTTATTACAGGATACACTAGTAAACATTTTCTAAAATAGTACATATATATTGTTCTGGAAAATATGTTCTAAAATATATTCGGAATAGTATAAATAACATAAGAATTTTTTAAAATATTATTTCTTAAAATACATTTGGGACCAATTTTATTGATGAAAGGAAAGTAAATGGAGGCAATGAAGCCGGTAACGAGGCATGTTATGAAAAAAGATGAGTGTTAGAGGAAGGGGGTTTGTGAGGAGTAATTTCTAGAATGTGTAAGTTTTTCCTAAAACAAAAGTGTAAGTTAGAAATAAAGATTTATTTTTGGTAAATCAAAGGTTTAGATTATAAATAAAGTTTAAGAATATTTAGAGAATAAAATAGAAGTATTTAATAAAAGTGAAGTTAAGTAATTAATGATGGTTATTTCTTTGATGTACATATATAGTAAATGTTTTAATGTCTTATCTATTTATTTAATAATGTGTAAGTATATGTATTTAATTTACACGTTATTTAATACATTATTTATTACTATTTATTTGTTATTATTACAAGTCATTACAACTTATTAATAACTCTTTTTAATTTGTACTTTAACCATTTTTCCTATTCAAATGTTTTTTATTTTAAACTATTAATCAAAATCAAAATCTCTAAAATTATTTTAATTTCTTAAGTTATAATTAAAACATAAAATAAATACATAAATCAATCCTTATATAATATATGTGAACCTCTATTTTATATAAGAGTGTTTTTAGAAACTTTTATTCAACGAGAGAGTTTGTATTTTGTAAGAATTTTCTTAACTTCTTTTTTTAATTTGATTTTATTTATTATAATTATCATGTATTAAATATTAATATTTTAAAATAATTTATAAAAAAAACTCTTTACAATATAAATTATTTATTATAAATTTAAAATATAATGTACATATTTAAAATATTTATATATATTAATTTTAAATATAATTTATATATTCAAATATAATATTTATTTATATCTATAAATATATAATTTTAATTATATATAATAAATATATTTGTACGATAGTAATGTATATTAATTATTAGATTGACTTTTTACATATGTGGAAATAAATATTTTTATTTTTATAATATTATTTTCTGCTATTTTAGATTATTAATGTAGTATCGTCGTATTAATATATTTTACTTTTTTATCTTATAATATTAGTTTATTATTATTTTTTATTTAAATTAATTTTTTCCTATCATAGTTTTCCTTTAATTAATTCTACTCGTAGTACGGTGACAAGGTCACAACTGAATTTCTTTAAATAAATTATTTTTTAAAAAAATTTATGATATTAATCTAAATAAAAATCTCTAAAATTATTTCAATTTTTTATATTTCAATTAAATATTATATAAAATATTATATATATATATATA